TTTATATATATATATATAAAGTACAAAAAATCTGTGTGTTTCTATGTCGATTATCTAACTACTAGGTCGCCAAGCTAATCTCAACCAATCTTTGTGGGATGGAACAAGGGGCATGTTAATGATGGTTAAGAACCCCCTCATTATTGAGCATTTGTTATTTTTGACATAAATCAATGTTAATTTCATTTATAGATGGCACCACATCCTTACACAAAAAATATTATTAAATTTTCTATAACACAAAATAAAGTCAAGGGGAAAGGCATATAAATGTCATGTATCTCAGAGTGCACTTGTACTCTCTATGGAGGAATATAATAAAAAAAAATGACACTACTATTGCAATAATACATATACTCAGCTGAAGTTCCTACTCCAACACTCACCGTAACACTGATATAAAAGAGCTGTTTCTTGAGTTATACCCTCTTCCTACTTTGACCCGGGGTCTTACAACTTCAGGTGTTGAAAGCAGGTAACAGAAAGCACCCATACTGCCACTACTTTGGCTGCTACCTCCTCCTACAAAGTCACCCTGACCATCACACAATGTATACCATGTTTTAAGTATGTACATAGTGAGGTGTTAAAGCTTATACAAAACTTTGGATGAGTTAATGACGAATACTGTAATGTTATATTATGAATAAATTGTGTGAAGTTAAGATTTTTGTGTCATCTATCACAGCATCAATCCTCACATTTTCTTAAGTTCATAACCCGGACAAAAGGACGAGTACCTCAGATTGCATAATATAATTTTACAGATCAACTTAAGGTCATTCTGACAGACTGCATCTTTTTCTCAGTAGCTGTAGCAGAAAAATCTTTCCTTTGTTCCTAATCAGTCGAAAAAATTTGACTGTATATCTCGAAGCTCTTGAAAAGTAGAATCTGCTTTTGAAAAAGCCTTCTCTCTTGTTCTATAAAAATTGTTTGCCATCCTTAAAATATTGAAGTGTACAATTTCATCAAGTAATGTTTTCTTGTTTGACCAGTACCAATCTGTGTTTGTTTATATAATACTCACATTTTAAGTATGTAGAAATTATATAATATTAAAAATATGAAGTGTGAGAGAAAAAAACCTCTTATTTTTCAATATCTTCCTCCTTTTTTACATGAAAATTTCAAATCAGTTCTTAAAGTATCCAAAGAGAAGTTTCAACTCTAATTATTTTGAATATTTATTGTTTTTGCTTTAGGTAATGCAAGTAAAATCCAATCAGGCAAATAAGATCTACACTGAACAGGCCAAGGTATTTCTTCTAGTTATATTGTTAGACGGTGTATATCCAGAAAACATATTTATACAAAATTCTACCACCACAATCAATAAAATGATACGATTTTATTGCTGTGAATACAACATGCTAAAACAGAGAAAAAATTTAAGGAGTGTACCTGATTAAAATGAGGAATATCTAACTTCAATTTTCTGGTTCAGTTTAGACTCTTTGTTATTAATTAGTAAACTCTCCAGTTTTAAGCACTCAGTACAAGAGAGCAAAAGTTCAATTGGAAAATTATAATGATTCTACCGAAAACAAAGGTTTGAGAAGCTTAAATTTTATAAATTGCAAAACATGTACTAAAGCTTACAAGAGTAACACAAAAATGTGAGATACGTGTTTTACAAATAAAAATGGACACAATACAGAAAATATTTTTATCTATGTTTATTTTGTTACTGAACACAGATAGTTTTTGAACATATTGCAAAAACAGATGAAATTCAAATACACTTGTTTAGTTTATTTTAAGCTTAATTTTCTGTAGATGATTAGCAGACAAACAAAATAAAGCACAATCAAACATTCCAAATATTATAGTACATTCTTAGAAATTTGGAAAATTTGCTTTCTAACTAGGAAGAGACCTTGATTTAAAAGCTTATCAGGAAAAACTAAGCAAATGCATAAATCTTTCAGAATTCTATTAACAATTAATATTAGTAAAACAAACAGTGATTGTACTGATACATTATATTATACTTTTGTCTCTAATTTGTATGATGTAACTGCTAATGTTCTAAAAGATCAAAGAAACAATTCTACATCCCTCCCAATTACATTAATAGCACTTGTAAATTAAAAACATAATATCTCTTTGTTTTATGTCTATTTTTTTTTGAAGATGCAATTCAACAAGTGTACAACTTTAGAAGAATAACTTCAAAAGGGTACAACAAAAACAGACCAGTTTTTCTATTGCCCACTAGAGCAGTATGTTTTTTTTTTTCTTGAGTTAAAGTGAATGATATCATGAGGTTGCAAGCATGCCTGTTAGGTTTTTGCCAGGTTTTTCCTAAGGTTGTCTTAGTGATGTTGCAAACTCCATAAAGTTTTCTAAAACAGGTGAAATCTGACAATACAGTTGCTGTCAATCGTCAAAATTTTGAGACAGAAGGAAATTTGCTGCTAGATTTTCATTCTTGTCACAAGCAAAATAAGCTTGAATGACCAGATACTCAGGAAATCCTAGAGCTTTGAGCTGTGAATAAATACAAGAAAAATAATCAAATCAAACAACTTACAAAATAAAGCTTTACTATAAAAGTTGGACTTGAACAAATCTTAGCAACAAATATTTGTTTCTCAAGAAGAAATTAAAATAAAGTTTCATAAAAAAATATTCCTTAAATTGTACTTTCTTAAGACATCAGTATATTTTTTACTATTACTTCAAAAAATCTGAAATTTTTTTTATAGATCCAAAAAAAAAAAACAAGTTTTCCTAGGAATGTAATTAGTTTGCTATAATTTAACAATCAAACCTGTAAAAACTACAAGTATTCCGTGTATCTGTGTGACGAAATTAAACTAATCTTTATATATTTTATAAAATAATTATGCAGTTAATAATTACAAGAATATACTTTTTGAGAAATTACTGCCTGGTTCTAACCACATTAGAAAAATTAATGACAGGCATAATCAAACCAAATAAAACATTCCAATTTATTTCTGAAACTGATTATAATTAAGTATCCTCTAAAACTATACAAGCTATGTTAAAATTAGTGTTATGTTATTTTATTATAAACTAGCGTAAGTATCCGACTTCGCTCAGGTTATTACGCTGATATATTCTAGATGACTATGTCAGTGTGTTTATTCTGAACCCATTTTAGCAGATAAATTATAACCTATATACTTCTCTTGCTAAGCAACATGACATAAAAGCCATTGTTATATAAAGAATTACTTTTTTTCTATGTGTTTTTTCACTAGCTTGCATCATTAAAAAAGGTACACACGTGCATGTGCACAAACATGTGGATAAATAGTACCCAGGTGCACACCCTCAGGGTCTACTTAGTATGGGTGCAAAATTTCAGGTTTCTAGGTTCTTTGCTCTTGGAGCTATGGCAATCACACTTCTTTTCTATGTGGTTTTTCTCTAGCTTGTCCCATAAAAAAATGCACACATGCATGCATGTGGATATTTAATAATAACCCAGTTGCACACCTTCAGGGTCCACTTAGTATGTTTGCAAAATTTCAGGTTCTTAGGTTTTTCCTTTCGGAGTTATGGCATCACACACACATATATAAATTAGTTCTGCTGCTGCAATTTTAAGTATAAACCAAATGAATGCTCTGCCCAAACAATTCATAAAAATCATTACAATGTTTTTTGGTATATCCCAGAGGAATTTCAATTCAGTCATTAACTATAATTTTTCTCTTCTATATCTACTTACACGCTCAATGGCTTCCTTATCTTGAGGAGTAACCTGGGCAGTGACCCCACCTTCAAAGGCAGCAGGGATCCCACTACTGCCAGTGCCCTGGCCTGCAGCCTGACTACCAGTGTTTCCAGCATTCCCACCTCCACTTGAACCTGTTGCAGGTTCATTCAGCATTCTAACAAAGGCTTCCTGGTTTTGTGATATCACCTGAAGAAGCTGAGGATTACTCTGTCCAATCTGCTGAAGGACTGCATTTAATAGCTGGGGATTCTGCTGAATGACCTGCCGCATCTGTTGGAATTGGGGCTGAGACCTCAGAAAAGCTAGAGGATCTTCTAGTGTAACAAACAAAACAAAATGAAAAATAAAACAGATGCTGTGTAGTACAACCTATTTAACTAGAACACTAGACTGCATAAAAGCAATGATGGAAAAAATAAATTTAAAAACAAAAAAGTTCATTTATTATTAATGTTATCTTTTAGTTAGCATTAAGCAAAAAAAAAAGAAGAAAAAAGCATACTGAAAATATAATCTCAGTTATTAAGACATTGGTTTAATAAACTGTAAAGTGCAAACAGTGTTCACTATATTCTTAAAAAACTTTAACATAAGCCCATCTTTTAAGCTTCAGTTATTTGTACATTCACCAAATATTCCACACACATTCAGTTACATAATTTTAGTTCTATTCACTTCACTATATCTATTTTGTGTGTTTTAGTATAACTTAATTTCTAGTTTTTATGGATCTAAAAGGAAGGCTACTATACTCTGCAAGTTATACTTTATTTTCAGTAAAAAAAAGTGTTTTACAAATAACTTTACCAGTCTATGTAACTTATTATGACAAAACATTTGTTAAAAAAATCACAAAAATAAAACCACATCAAAATGATGAATATTCTTAAAAAGTTAGCAAAAGTCATATAACTATTATATATTAATAATATATCAAAATTATAACTTGTTTAATTGATTATTTGTTTCAGAGTTTCATGTAATGCTACAAAAGTGTTATCTGAACCAATAAAATAGAGGAAAGGTGGCTAGTCAACAGCAACCACCAAATCTTGAGTTAGTCTTGTCTGACTGAATAGTGGGACCTGACCAACACTCTTATAACATATTCATGGCCCAAAAGTGCAGAACATTTTTATATTACATTAATATATGTAAAATCAGGAGAGAAAAAAGTTGTTTCTACATATCACAAACATATCTTCATTTGTCTAAATTAATATGTAAGCGCTCCAACAAACACGTGAATTATTGGTTGATAAATTCCATTACTATGTGCACAATTACATTCTAATGACATTTTTTACATTTACTTATCATCATTCACTCTGAAAATAAAAAAATGAAGATATCATTGGTATTGTTATTAATGCTCACCAGAAACCAGTTTTTTTTCCTGGAATAACACTAAGTTTTGGAAATTAACCAAACAAGTATAAAGTCACTTATATTTCTCCTTTAAAACTTTATGCAATTAAACAATAAGTTTCATTGAAGAATACTATGTACACAATACTGTTTCAAATCATGAGGATAACACCACATTTTCCCTTGAATACATATAACTTATATAACAAATTATAAATCATTTAAAGAGTCAACATATGATTAGCATCACAGGAGTCTGTGGTAAACTACAAAACATGAAAATATGACTTCTGTTATACATTTAAGTTATACAACATTTTATTTCATGAAATAACTACATAACTGAAACACCAACCTTCACTTTCTGTTGCTGAAACATTAGTACTAGTGTTGGAAGATGGGTTACGCGCTGGAGCAGTTGCTTCTCTTTCTTCAGTTGAAGGCTGTGAAGATTCCTGGTGAGAAGGGATACCCTAATAGTAGAGAAATTAAATAACAAATACTCAAAAAAAAAACTTATTGTTTTTCAGAATTAAAGTGAACAAAACTGAACAACAAATATTACTATTCCAAACTGTGGATATATAGAAATTAGTGTTTTAAACTAGAGCTGTATAATAAACCATGTATATGGGTCAGGAACTTTAGAAGATAAGACAGTTATCAAGTATAACTGTTGTATGACTGCCTTTCCATGTTGAGTTTTAAATCATGCTGTCAACAAACATGTAGATCAAGATTTCAGAATGTCCGTTGTGTATTGTGTACATCACTTACCCAAAATACTCCACTTTACCACATATCATATGACTTATTGCACATATGTCAGTGTATCTCAGTGGACCTTACATAAGTTCTCCTTTTCCTGCCAAAAATTTATTTCAAACCTGCACTTATAATGTAAAATTGATTGTGGGAAGGTGAGAAGGAAGGTATTCAATAAGTAAGAACCTGTTTGAAATATATTTTAATTCGAAAAATTTTAAGTTCACTGTAAGAGAGGTAAAAAACAATAAGGCACAACTACAGGGTAGAAAGATAAGGCATCTAGACTACAAAAAAATTGTAGCCAAGTAGAGTCACAGTAGAATCCAGAACACAAAGCAAACTTTCAGAATTGGAGTCAAGGAAGAGAGAGTGGAGAACACTAGCCTTACAGAAAAACAAAATAAAACAGGACCTATAAAACACTCAGAAAGAAAGCATTCTTCTCTCATCAGGGTAATTCTTCACCCATGATGCCCTTGTTGATACTGGCACAAGGGTAGGTTTTGTGAGTGGCACTAGTGTATAACACTGGTAGAGCCGACAATGGGAAGCAGATGGTGAACTTAAGAAGTAATTATATATCTCGCTCTTTTAATGAAAGGTTTTCGGTGGAACAGCCCAAAAACATATTATTAAACAACACACTCGAGAGACAGTAGCCCCTCTTTATCAATATCTAAAATGGCCAAGGAGTTACAAACCAGCCAAATTAGTGTGCACCCAGAGAGAAATGAAAAAGACCCAAGGACACCCCAAAAATGGACAGTGCAATGGGAATATCAAGGCAGAAAATAAAAACATAAATGATTCCCATCCTGGTTGGAGAAGAAACAGTGAGTGAAATTTCCAATGCCATGCAAAAATATGCATGTAGAGATGGGAAAGGTACCTGCTGAGGCATCATCAGCCACTAAATGGCACCCTTAGTCCATTTCCAAAGAGCAACCTCCTCTCATAAAACTCCTAAAGGGAGGGTGAGGAATTTGTGTTTAGGACTAACACAGAGGTATATTTGACTTGCAAAAGTCTTGACTGTTCTTTTTTTTTTTTACATATAAACATATATATATATATACAGATCTCCCAATATATTCAAAAGTATTTCAATATCAGACACCCTGAGAGTGGTGACCAAGGGTTTTGGCAGATATAACAATACTTGGTTTGCCTAAGACAAACACAGGGGTTAAGGAACAACAGGATGAATCTATAGTAATACATAAACTTTGTACAGAAGGAACGGCTGTATTTAAGATTTTTTTCTGGTGAAAATTAAAATGAGCACAGATCCATACACTCGAAAATAGGGAGCTTTTGATAGATGCTTCAGTTGCTGCTTCACATAGGTTGCTAAGCCTTTTAAAATTTTGCACATGGAAGATGTGAAACAAAATAATTTTTTTAAGGTTTTATATATACAGTTGAATAACCAAAAAATCATAAATTACTATATCAATACCACAGAATTCTACTATAATTTATCAAGCTTATTAACTAAGCTGTATTTGGGTCTAAAAAAATATGAAATTTCAAGTAGACTAAAGACACAACCTACCTTCTTGAAATTTTGGTTCAAAAGAATGAGATTGCATTCTAACACATGAAAATGGCTGAGAAAGCCATTAGGGGGACATTTTGAGCTTTCGATTGGTTATTCACATGTCATATATTGAAGTAAGTATATATAATGTACCATTTCCAAAAAAATGGAAATAGGTGAGCAGGACCACTGTGTTTGATTCAGTACATGAGTGATATCTCAGCAAATAGAAAATATATGAGGTTTTTATTTTATATTCTAGCTTATCAATATCGGTAATTTGAGTACTTAATTCATACAAAACTACAGACTTAGTATTCTGACACCACAAGCATCTATTTTGAACTAGTGCTGCATTCAACACACCACGTGATACACAAAAATTGATGTTTAACTGGTTTTTAATATTTAATTTTAAATTAAAAAATTAAATAATGTATAATACTAAAATTTGAATTATAATCTACAGTTTGATACCAACCTTACTGACATAAATTCATGAAATAGTAGTTCAATAAAATTTTGAATGCGAGACAAACATGATGACATGGCCTTTGACCCATGACATGCCTGGAGAGGGTTAAGACCAGACCCAACTTCTATTGTTGACAAAGTTGAGGCACTCTAGGGTACAGTAAGCAAAAATATTGAACAAGAAGTAGAAAACAGCTAAAAGGGTAGCTCTATAGCTTGGCAATAACAGAAGCTGACAAGTCTTTTGTCATGAAATAAAAACATGAAAAAGGGGCAAACTATGGAGGGAGTCAGCAAAAGACAGAATAACAAGATTGGTAAACTGTTGGGAAGAAATGTCAGCAAGAATGTGATAACTGGCTACCCATGAAGAGAATCCAGCATCTCAACAAAGAACTGCATAACAGCCATCTGTGAAGCCATAAATGAAAAACATTGTGGTGAAAGATGGAAATTCCAGGTTGGTGGAAAAGACATCCATACTAGCAATCAATGAGAATCCATCTGAGAGAGACAACTGAATAATGGAAAAAAAAAGGTTGAGCAGACCAGTGTGGGACAAAAAAAGAACCCACTAATGGAATCTGCTGATCTCAGCCAAAACCCGAGGAAGAAGATGAAAATTAGAGTAGCTATGGAGAATTTCCTAAGAATAGTTCAAGGCATCTACAGTTAAAGCAGAGGGATCCAGAACAGAAGTGGGATCCAAGATGACTTCTATTGCAAACTCATCAATGTTGAGTCATCCAAACCAAACCAACAATTAATTGAATTCTAAAAGGTGATAGGTCCACTATCAAAAGACATCAACGTACTCATGAAAGAGTATCAACCAGAATGTTCATAACCCTGGTTACATAACAAGCTCAAAGAATGATACATTGTAAATGAATCCACAACAAAAATAAAGTCTTTGCAAATGTATTCCACTCTGCTCGCTGATATATACTACTAGAGTAAAATTCTCTGTTTGCACTAGAGCACAACAGTGTTGTACCAAAGCCAGAAATTCCAGAAATGCATGATTAACTGCTCAAAATTCCAACAAACTGAGGAAACAAAAGACCCAAAAGACTAAATTCCTTCCAGACTTGGAGAAAAGCATTGGTGAACAGACACAATTCTGGAGGAAAAGAAAAAAAATGGGACACTGATAATGGTAAATCCATGATTTTAGCCACACTCAAAAGTACTTGAAGCAGTCAGAAATAGAAGAACTCCCTGAGACAATAGGTTGGATACTAGGTGTCATTGCAAGGAAAGATCTTAATGAAAGTTTCATATTTGAGCACAACCCATGGGAATTGCCTCACACTCATGGAATTTCACACAACAGAGAGGACATCTTTGATAAAGGGAGAAACAGGGAGAGGTAGGTGCAGCTGAGATTTAAGGAATTTTAAAGCCCAAAGTGAATAGTGCTTGATCAGAGTTGATCCAAAACCCAAGATGTAGGAGATATTGGGTAGGAACCAAGATTTGGTCTCCAGAACAATCCAATCCAAAGAAGAAACCAACTGAGTGGTCAAACAAATGTGAGTAACTGAGTGATGAAACCAGTGAGCTAGCATAATCTAACTGCCCATGTAATGATGAAAATCAACTGTTAGTCATCTAGAAGACCAGCAAGAATTTGGCTACACATGTAAAGACTAAGGGAGCCAAAGCCAGTCCAAAAGATAGAGCTTTAAACTGAAAAACTACTCCCCAGTATACAAAAACATGTGGATCAGAATATGTAAATATGCATCTTTGACAACCACTTACAATATTCATCAATCTTGACAAAGATAATTGTAAAATTCACATTTGATTCCTTCTTGAATGCAAAAATGTTGAGATAATGATTGAAGCACAAAATATCTAATATCAGTCTGCAATGTTTTTTTGGGTATTACAAACAGACAAGAATAAAATCCAGGGAAACCAAAATTATGATTTCAATAACCCTGATGAACAGAAGATGTGACACTTCGAGATCCAAACAATGAAAACAAAGTGGATCATTCGGAAGTGGAAAGAAATTGGAACACTCAAAAATGAAAAGACTGATGAAAGTGGAAGCACCTGTTGAACCCAAAGGCCAGGAAGAAAGAAAATGTTGCAAGAAAGAGGTCAGGTAAGAGCGAATCTCCTGAAAAATGGTCCTCTGAGCCAGTGCCAAAGAAACATGCAAATCTAAACCTTACTCCTTAAAAAAAAATCAGAAAAACAGTTATAGCTTACAGCTAACAATTGAGCAGATGAGCAAAGTCTCAAAATTAGCATAATCATGGCCTGAAAGAAAGAATACTGATGTTAAGACAGGTTGAAAGACATCCACACCCATAAAAAAAAACAACGTGAGTTGAAGATTTAAAGTTAAAATCAACAAATGAATAGAAGAAGATCCCATTAAAAGGCCAACAGAATGAAAAATATGTGGCAATAAATAATACTGAAAAGGACTTCTACTTAAAAAATCATTAGCAGCAACCTAAATGTTAGGTGAAAGGGAAAGAAATAAAGGTTTCCAAACTGTATCTTAAAGCAGCACATTAGATCACTCAGGTGTAACTAAAATGGGCTCAAGACATAAAATGTTACATACCTGGGAAAACAAGAAAATAAGTCCAACAAAAGCTTCATAAGGGCTAGGGTTTACTGGGAAATCCTTATCCTCATACAAAGATGGAATATAAGAAGAAAGTGTTGTACAACCTAATGTCATCCAAAAACCATGATATTCATCAGGGCCAACCCAAAATGACTTGGCATTAATCATCTATAAGCTCACACAATGTAGTGATGGGATTTCCCTGCTAGCCTGTGGAAGACTGTTGGAATAAAGTTTCACTGGACTGATGCTGTTTTGGGGATTTAATGTTTACTATAATTCTGAATTTACAATACGTATTTTTATGAAATTAGGCAAGCATTTAAGAAATGTAAAAGTATTATACACAGAAAGTCAGAATCTTTAATAAAGTATTTCTTCTGCATTCTACAATTTAAGAAACACGTTTTGGAAAGAAAAGCAATGCTTATGTAAGATCCTCTGATGCATATGTAATAAGTCAGGTGATAGGTGGAAGAGTGGAGTATTATGGGTAAATGGCTTATGCAAATACATAAAGGAAATTTTGAGTCATGTTTTGAAGACAGTATGAGTTCAAACAACAAGAAAAGGCATTCAGTATTTTAGAGGTAAGTCTCCCAGATTTGAATAAAGTGTTGTCTGGTTTTCTTTGTTTAGTTGTTTATTCTAAAGCTAAGCCACGTTGAGCTATCTGCTATGTACACTGCAGGGAACAAACTCCAAATTTTAGCACTGTAAGTCAGTAAGCTCACCACCATCCCACCAGAGAACTTTCTTAGTCTACATGAAAGATGTAACAGTTAATATACAGTATGTAGCAAAAACAAAATGTGGTATAGAAGTAAGTAATGGGGTGATAATTCTGAAACATTTATAATAGTTCAGTCCTTTTCCAATCACTAGCTAAGATTCAAGGTATCATGATTACTTTATTGCTTATGTGAATTTAATATGAAGTTTGCTCAAACACTAATGCAAAAATAATGTGGAATTACTATCCTCAACTAGTTTTTATACCCTTGCTTGAATTTTCCTTACTCTATTAGTTTCACTCACAGCATTTAAGCTATGCTTTCTTGTAGGCATTACATGTTAGATAGATGAATCCTGGTCTATTTGAAAAAAAATTTACATGATCTGATAAAGAAGCTTGTGTAGATGTAACTAGTTAACCCTCTAACTATGGGCATCTTTTTCCGTGCATGCCACGTGGTTTTAGTGAGTTACATTCATATTTTAATTAAACTACTTTCTTATCATGGTATACAAATAAATATAGCATAAAAACATAGCTAATAATTCATATTTTAATAGTATATAAGTTTTAAGTTCATAAATTTATAAAAGGCAAAAAATCCTGAATTTCCCTTAGTGTGAGAGTTGTGAGATTTTCTCTCTAGGCATTCCCTCGTCTTTACTTTATTCACCACCCTTCCAAGAAGTACAAAATCCAGCATAAATTATTCATTATAATTTTGTCAAGCCAACATGCAATCCTAACTCCTCAGACAAAAACCTTTTTAACAATATGAGATTTGTAGCTTTTGATTGAGATATTTGCAAGAAAAGTTCTGGACATACAGACAGTTAAAAGCAAGCATATTATTTATATAGATTCTTAAACCTTCTGAATTAATAAAGTTCAACTAATTATCGGACACACCACAGAATTTATGTTTGTTTTAAGCTTACACCATGCACTGTTAAGGTTTTAAAATTATACTCAAGTGAAAGTGTAACACAAAAATTGACATTCAGTGACAATTTGAAAAAATATATAAAATCAAGACACTTATTATTAAAACAAAATACAACTATTTAAAGTGTCAAATATAAGTTTATTTTACAAATTCTTCGAAAAGTGAAGACTTACGGTAAGTAAATATTCTACAGCTCTATCTGGATTATTGTAGCTCGCTCGAAGTGCTCGCTCAACTTGTTCTCTTTCATAGCCCATTTCCATTATTTGTTGCACTATTTTCTGATAATCTTCTCCCATCACCAGGCTTGATTCTGCTGAACTAAGATTAAAACTTGCACCTGATGCAGACGTAATCATGGCAGCAGTTGTGTTAGTGGGACTAGAAACATCGAAAACAAACACATTCACAAATTCACAATACAAAGTTTCTTATCAAAATACTAAAGAAATCACTTTTAATCAATTATAGGAATGTTTTTAATAACTTCAATGAAAATGAATAATTCTAAAATAAACACTTTATTAACAAGCATTATTTTTAAATCAAAAGGTTTAAACATTATTTCAACTGTTAATATTTTCCTAATCTAAAAACATATTTCCAACAGATACTCACCTCCTAACACAGAAATATTATTTCTCTTGCGTGACTCTCTATGAGATTTGCATACCACTATCCTTGAGCTAATTTCCACCTAAATTCATATATTTAATGTGTACTGTGATGATGCATGATGGCATCATCATGTGAAAATAGCCCTCCACCAATAGAAGGGAGCAGTAACTACCCCTATGCACTTGCACTCGTGATAACTTCATTCTTAGATAAGGCAAGAAAAAAAGGGAGTGGGAAGGATAGGTAGGAATATTTAAAGAGGTGAGTAACTATCAGTAATACATTTTTAGATTAGGAAATGTTAACTTCTGAGATAATAGCTCACACCTGCACACACAAATGTAGAATCCCACAATGAAGTGGTATAGAGAAAGGTGCAAAACTTTAAAACTTAGACAAGCAACTTTCAAAAAGCACCCAAAGGAAAAGCCCATGGAGTGTGGTACTCAATGGCAGGTACTTCATAGGAGCAGACCCATGGGCGATTGCATCTCATCTCGACCAGTGTATACTCTTTGTCCGAGATGAAAGGAAGGGAAAGGAGAAAGAGCCTGAAGTGTTCAGAGATGGGCAGAATGTGATCATGATCAACCGAGCACCTACACATAAGTGGTCAGCAAGTCAATATGTGTAGTATGGTTAAAGTGTGTACTGACCTCAACTCTATTGGGCAGCCTCTGGCTGCAGGAAAAGGGCACATTAGTTGTGTGAGGGTGGGCAGTCAGTTCCCTGGTGCCAATTTTTTCAATGATAAAGTATGGAATTGTTACAGCCTGAATTGGACAGTTGAGTAAATTTGTCCACCACAAATAGTCTTATGGAATGCAGTGGACACTGGTAGAGCCAGGGCAGATGGTCTGAGCATTTTCCGCTCCCCTGGGTATATGTTGGTTTTGGGAAACAAACATACTCTGTGAGGCAACACCAGCCACTGGTGGGATTCTGAGTGACAGGAGAGAAAATTAATAAGGAGACATATTTACCCATCTCAAAGACAGTGGGTTGATTGAAGAATGCTGACTGGAATAAGCTGAAATCCTGCAGGACACAAAACATCCAGATGATGAAGATAATGAGTGACAAAAATGTGGGAAGTTGTCCACATGCATTCCTGGAGGATTTCATCCAAAAGCTGGTGAAACTGGGAAGCGAGAGTGATACAAATGACAAATCTGAGGTGAAAAAATAAGAAATAACCTGTGAGCATCTATATCCAGGGAAGAATATACTAATTTGAGGCACTGATGGCCCCATCCAGTAAGGGTAGAAGTATAGAGGTCCATGGAAGAAAACAGGTCCCAGGGTAGGAACAACCAATGGTAGAGACCCCAAAGGGAGAAGTCCATGATAAGTAACACAAAACAGTCTAAAGAGGACATAGGAATTGATCCAGGTCTGAAAAAACATAGAAGTGAGAGATAAAAGGGAGATAGGAGTAAAAAGTACAGTTACCTCCCTGAATAGCAGAAGTCTTAAGGGAGTGTGTAAGTGTGGTGGAAGAAAGTATGAGAACATCACTAAACAAAGAAAGGATTGGATTAGAGTAGAAAGGACAGGGGAAGAAAACACCTTGTTGTACTGGGATAGGCAAAATTTAGTGGACAATTCTGCTCAACAACAAGCAATGGAGACCCACAAACCATGGTCGAACAGTCAGGTAAAAAAGGCAGGTGGTTTACAGTTGGATCCCAGGGAGGAAAGGATTGGCAGATGGACTAAAGATGAGAGATCTGCCATTGTCATTGGTAAACAAAGTGGAAGAGTGATAGGAATATAACAAGAAGAAAGCCAGATGATCGGAGAGTTTGGTTCAACAGGTGATGGACTGGACAAATCCCACACATGAAGATGGAGGAACAATATCCCTTGAGGTTGAAGCAATAGAGTGAACATTGGGTAGATGAAGGGAGTGTGAGCACTAAGCAAAGAAGCACAGGAAACTAAGGCTAAGCTAGTCAAAGAATTACCACTAGGAGTACTCAACAATGAGTATCACATATCAAAGCAAGGACTCAAGGAAGGAGTTGAAGAGGAGGATAAGCAAACAGAAAAAGTAAGACCAGGCTTGGCTGAGAGTATCAACAGCTAGAGCTGAAAGATGAGGAACAAGAGACCAGATGAAAGGAAGCTCAGAGTTGAGAGGGGTGACAAAAATGTCCATGAGAGGCACACCCAATGAAAGACCTGGATGTAAAGAGACCACTTTTTAGATAGAATGCAGTTCAGCCAAGAAAGGCAGTCTGTAATAAGGTTCGTAACTCCCAGCGAATAACAAGCAAGAAGACAGAATCGATAAGAGAATTAGCCCAGAAGAGGAGGTCTAACACCTGAACAGAGAGTCCTGGAACAGGTGTCCCTATACAGTTTTGTTAGAAATGACCATGGAATTGTTGGACTGGATCAAACAAATGATCCATCAAAAGAGGTAGGAAATGGAAACATACCTGACAAACAATGAGAAGTTTGAGCATGTTGAAGTGGAGTGAACTCTCATCCTGGATCCAAATGCCAGAAAGTCATGCCATCATTCTAAGATATTCCCCAACCTGAGAGGGAAGCACCAGTGAATAGATGGAGATCTAGTCTGGGACGGGGGTGATGAGGGATTGTCAGATGTAGAATTAGCATGGTCTGGCTATTATGATAAGTCCTTGAGTAAAGGAGAGTAAAGGTTCATAATTGAGGACAATCGAGCTTGAGAAGAAAACTATTGGTTTTGCAAAGTCTATTGGAGAAGATGCATGTGTGGATGCCCCAAAGGAATAAGGGGCTCCAGGGAAGCCAGAATCCAGAAAAGTGAAATAATTTCTAGCATAGGATGAGAATAAGAAGCTCAGATTTTGGTGACCAGACATTCCATGGCTCACAGACAAAGAAGAGAAGGTTGAACACAGCCAAGATAAGAGTTGAAGAAAATGCCCAGATGTACCAAATATTATGTGGGAGAGAGAAAGCACTTGGAAATTGGAATATATAAAAGGCAGATGATATGTTTTGAAGGGAAGAGCAGGGATTTGGAAGACATAATTCTGATGAATGAAACATAGTAAGCAAATGGAGGACAGGGTAACTGGGATGTATTGAAGGGTATCTGACACAGTGACCTCAATCATCTGCAAATCAAGTGAAAAAGACTGCAGAGGAAAAATAAATTCTTCAACAAGAATGATGGCACAATCAAAAATCAGTTGCGAGATAATAGGCCAATCAGCAGACACTAATCCCCAGTCTTCTTGGGGATCACAAAGAGACAAGAACAAAAACCCCAAAAAAGTGGCATACACCCTTTGGATGGCAGGTTCAGCCAAGAGAGAGAAAGAGACAAGTACCCATTGGGCCCAATCAAACAGAATAGTCACCAAGAAGAATAGCAATGAACTGGCTGTCAGATAATGAGAGGATGAGAAAAAGAGGAAGGTCTGGAAGCTGGAATGGGAAAGGTAGCAGTAGACTGAACTATTCAAGGAACTGGAGTCAAAGGGCAAGGTTGAGAAAGACAAAAAATGAGGGAAGATAGTGGGTCTATAGTGAAACATGAAAACCACTGAAGACTTCTGCATGATGAAAAAAAGTCTGATAAATACCATGTACACTATACAGAGGAAAGCATACATTAATGAGAAGCCCACCTAGACACAGCATGTCTCAAGATCAGAGTAACCAAGAAAGGAGGGACAGAGCAGAAAAAGAGTAACTGACAAAGGTAGCAAAGAGAAGGGAATGTTTTGACAGGGGGAGAGGTAACATAATATAGTAGTGAGAAAAAGATAAAGACATGAAAATGGGGAACTAGAGAGTGAAATAAAAGGCAAAGGGTCTGCTTCCCAAGCAGACAAAAGAAATTCTGAAGACAGGGAATTTAGAAAAAGAATGAAAGGGAAGAATAGTTGTAGAGCAGGACAAAAGAGGTATTAATGTGAATGGGTTGAGGCATGTGGGTGTGAATATGGAGTTGTTTGAGAAAAGAAATAGTATAAATCCTAATATCATGCAAAGGAGGAAGGAAAAAGTAAACCCAAGAAATGGGCTCATGGAGTAAAAAATGGGAAATATTAAAGGACACAGACAAAAGACAATGAAAAGAACATATCTGAGGAAACATATTCAGAAATAGTTTGGAAGGTCGAGGACATTCCTAGATCAGCAAGGCATTACCCAAAGTAAATGGGGATAAAATCACCATCCAATTAGACACTCAAAACTCAAGAGAAAGAACATTAGTTGAAAAGATTGGGGGAAGAAACCTAGTAAGCATGAGGTAATCTACAACATGCTTAACAAAGGCTGAAATATCTACAACAGTTGAAAAGCCTCGAGAAGCTACAGTAGAAATAGGGCCTGTGTGTGCAACTTCATCACACAAATAAGACAAGAAGTCATGAAAAGAAATAAAGATTCTGAAACAAAAAACAAAGAAAATGAAATCCAAAGTTTCATTAACGTATGCAACTCTCATCAAAATGAAAAATCTAAACACATCTGTTCAATTCAATGTTGAAGATAAGAATGAAGTTATCATGAGTGAAAGTGCATAGAAGAGTTACTGTGCATGAAAGTTGTTTCACCCTTTTATTGATGGTGGGTGGTCTATTGTCACATGATGACATTATTATGCACCAGCACAGTTGACATGAATTTAGGTAGGAGTTAGCTCAAGGCTAGTGGCATGCAAATCTCACAGTCAGATGTATGTGCAGAAGTGAGTTATCTTCTTGATACTATAAAATTACATGAGAAACATACCTTGTTATTTCTGATGCTAAAGAATCTTTCTTTTCGGGTGCTGTTTCTGAAACACTTGGTGACTGCTTAATATCTGCTACAGAAGTACCAGATGTTTGTGATACACCTGAAGAAGCTTCAGCACCTGATGATGGTGATGTGGAACTTTTTTGTGAAGATTGACTATCATTTGCTCCAGGTTTGGGCTAGAAAACAGAATTTAAAGAATAAATATTCTACACATATGTGAACTAATATCACCATATAATTAATATACACATACATACATACATTTATGTGATACAGATAGAAAGTTATGCATTTAGGATAAATAGTAGTGCAGGTTACAACTAAATTTTAAACTTTGAACATTTCTACACACATTTTTGTAGTCTTTTTACCATTAAGTATAAATATCAACATGCACTATCATTTCATAAGGACTTTCCTTTATGCTATGACAATAATCTGGACTTGCCTGTCCATCACAATGTTAATATAGTATCAAAGGCATCGACAAGACTGACAACACTATTATGTTAAATTGAACATCATTCACCCTCCTCAATAAATCAAAGTACCTAAATCCTACCAAAGAAATATTCTCCTTATTATTATACTATCTGCAAAAGTTTTAATTTTCAGAAAAAAATAAGATCAAATGCTTCATGTTATTATTTCCTAATTTTCACTCTACCATCAATATACTCAAGGGTGAATGTAACTAATAAAACTACAACACATGCTTCCAGACATCTATTGTCCATAGTTTTCATTCTAAGTACCTCTGAAACCATGCTTTCCTACTTTAATCAGAGATGTGTTTTCGAACTGATTATCAGTTATAATAACATGGAAGTTTCTGTAATATCACTGACATTGTACAGTTAAAGATAATCAAATTATCTGACCATTATTGAAAGAATTAATCAATTCTGGTACACTTCACAAGTTCATTCAATAATGTTCCTCTAGTTTGAATAGTCAGAGAAATGATCCTGCTAGACAGTTACATATATCCACTATCAAATCCCATTGAAAGCCAGAGATCCTTGCCCTTATTCAGTGGCTTGCAAAACTACCAGAATATGACTATAAATCTGCAAATGAATATGTATTTTACAAATTTACAAAAGGAGGATCTTAATAAATAAATTGACCAATCAACATACAAGTAACTAATCAAGTTTATTCTAGGTTTTGGTAGAAATTTTTAGTGAATTAAATAAAATCGTACTGTAGTTTATTTGTTATGCATATAGTGCTTGCTCAGGGTGCTGAATTTAACCAACAATGTTTTATTAGATCTTATTTTGTGAATTTTCAAATTATTGTCACAAAGATAAAATTGTTCTTAATGCTTAATTGTGACGTGTACATATGAAATATTCTTGCCCCAAATAGATTATTAAACATTTTACAGCATTTCATGTTTACTTAGAAGACTTAACAGTCCCTCAGATAACAAGATTAGATTTTCAGTTTTTACCAAGGCTACAAAGTGGGAGTTTAACTGGTTTTAATTCTTCCTTTTCCCAAAAAAAATTAACAATGAATAACAAAATTTAAAGTGATGTGATGAACCAAAGTTGTAAGTGGTGCAACATCTTCACTAGTCATTGGCTTATTAAAGCTTTATAATATACATAGATTATACATTACTCTGAAAGTTACAATTTTATGAAATCAAGTGTATTTCCAATAATACTTATCACTGCTTACACTACAGCTAGTACTTGACTGCTACAGTTTCCTTTCTTCGCCAACTTAAGCACTGGTCTGAATTTTTCTTGCTTGCTCCAGTCATTTATTCCCCACTTAATTGACCTTGGCAATATCTGTCATGTGACATTCTCCACCTACATCAATGCACCCTCTATCCTGGTACTGTATAAAGCACCTGATTCAGATAATATTATCACTTTTTTGAGATTGACCCAATCTGCAGTCTCTAACACCAGCTCTTAGTGAGGAGGATGTGCAGGAGAGTGTGAGGGAAGTTAAGTATTATTGGAAATACATTTTTGATTTAAGAAAATGTTAGCTTCCAAAACATACTTACCTCTTCTCACACTATATCTAGAATCCCACATTGATATGGTGAAGGGGCCAGTGAGGGCATTATCCATACAAAATGCATCTGCATAGATCGTGGGTGTGCCAATAATAGTTTAGTACTCTAGTGGGGGAATCTCACTACATCCAGAACAGGTATGCTCTTCAACCGGAACCTAAATCATGGCATTCGGATGGAATTTGACATGATCTCACACTATATCTAGAATCCCACATTGATAAGGTGAAGGGGCCAGTGAGGGCATTATCCATACAAAATGCATCTGCATAGATCGTGGGTGTGCCAATAATAGTTTAGTACTCTAGTGGGGGAATCTCACTACATCCAGAACAGGTATGCTCTTCATCCGGAACCTAAATCATGGCATTCGGATGGAATTTGACATGATCTGTCATCACTATTGGCCAGGCCCCAACCAGATAGCCGAGGTCCCACTGCTCAGAGTTGAAATTATGGAGTCATGGTTTCTAAATTCCACATTGGTATCTAGAGTATTTAAACCACTATATATACATGTGAGTGGATCCCAACCTGTTGCCATAGAGTGATGCGTTCTGAGCCACCTGAATCACAAAGAGAAGGTAAGCAACACTGAAGTGGACAAACCCTCTGTTCAACCTGAAGAAGTTCGAAAGACAGCACTCCAAACTCGGGATGATGGAATCCTGTATGCCATACTCAACCTGAACTCAACAGAACTCATCCAGTCTAAAATTATGAACACTTATCCTCCCTCCCCAAATGTGTGGACAAGGTAAATTCTACTTGCCCACAGAATTATTGGGAGTACATGGAACAAACTGTGCTCAACCAAGAACCCAGGATGGGACCACTCCGTGTTCGGAATTACAAGGAGACAATGGACCCTTTTCCATGAACAATGTACTGAACAGATATTGATCAAAAAGAAGAGCCACACTCAACCCAACCAGATAGCAAAGCATCAAATCTGAACTGGTTTTACGAGTAGGCTCCCATGTAGGGATGGTGCCTCTCATACCAGCATCTGGGAAAAAAAACTAGGGAGCCAGGTAAGATGGCCCCCAACTTCACCCTTTTCTTGAAGAGTGGAAGAAAGTCACTCAACACTCTGGAGGAATAGCCTCTGTCCACCATCCCAGCGATTGGAAACTAGGCATGGTAAGGACTCCCTAGCTCCATTAGTAGGAAACAAGGGGATAATGCATGTTGAGGAGTCCACAGGAACAATGTTTGGAAACAGTGCAATAGGTGAACCAAGTTCCCTAAATTTTTAAAAGTAAACTGATCCCGATTTATTCAATCCAATGATCGGCAGGGACAGACAGGATCCTCTTATGCTTTACCTAAGATAGATCCATGAGTGGTGGTCCAGCATAGTAAGGTAATACCACCCGGTCTGCTTCTAGGTGGTCTTAATGAGCACCTCATTTTTACAGAGCCTGTTGCAACCTAGATAAAGTAAACTGTGTTAGTGGTTGCTAGTGTGGAATTGTTTTGATAAAAGCAGACCTGCCTGGGCAACACTTGCCACAGAGTGGAATCCATTGAAAATAAAAAAAAGAGACATGATCTGCAGAAGACTCCTCACCTTCAAGGAGAGCTCAGAATAAGTGATATGGATCATTTTCTGTACCCATCTCTACAAAATAACCAAGAAAAAGTCCCAAGAAACTGAATGGATGACGTAATAAAGCATGTGAACAAGTCCTAATTAAGCAGAAGGGGGCTGACCAGATGAGTTCCCAGGAAAGGAAGCTCTAGCAAAAGAAGGAGCAGGAAACAGGGAGTCTAAATTCTCCCCAGAATATCCCGTTTCAAAATGTAAATTCACATCAGCACCTCCCAAAGAGAAACCCCCAGGCCGCATAAAGATCTCAATCTCGCCCAGAATCAGGTCACAGACAGCTTCCACAGAGCACGCTTGCCACATCATTGTAACTTCTGTATTGTTAGCCAGGCATGGCTGAAAGGTCAATATAATTGTGTGTTTTCTTACAGCAAAGCCACATCAGGCTGTCTGCTGTATCCACTGAGGGGAATCGAATCCCTAAGTCTAGTGTTGTAAATCCGTAGACTTACCGCTGTCCCACCAGGGGACAAAAAGAAGAAGAAAAAGTAGAAGCAGATTCATCCAACTTTTAATGTATACAAAATCATTAACTCATGGCACTAACACACATCAGTTTAAAGGGAAGCTGTAAATATATAAAAAACTTAATTTATAAAATATGCACTAACTCTTAGAGTGTGCATTTTTTGTGTAACTGTATGCTTTAAATGCAAATAAATATACTTTACACAAAAAACACGTAAAAAATGTATTAGCCCAGTATTTGTATTGTTACGATATATATATGTTTCTAAGACTTTATGTATCAAAGAAACAAATAATTTAAAAATTTTAAGAGCAAAAATATCGCTACTATATTTTCCACATACCAATGTATCATGCTTTGTATATAATTGTGTATGGTTAGTGACGTAATCATTTTTCATTAACTTTCGAAATAGAGAAATCACTGCACTTATTCAGACTGATCTTAAAGTGGCAATATTTGAAAGCAGATGTCGCAGAGATCGCTATTTAAGTTTTAGAAATCGTATGTCATTTCCAAGTTCGCCATTTTGTGATTTTTCAGAGTGGGCAAAGAACGAAAGCGTCAGGTAAATACACTATATTTTTCAAACAGGATCAACAAATAATGTTTGTTAATGAAATGTAGTGTTATAAATTGTAAAGCAAATTATATTTTATGATAATTATTAATGAGTTAAACGATAATAGACGGTATAGTATTTTAAATTATAGGTGTACTCTACACTTCTAGTATTAGCCTAGTGTTGTGATTCACATGGTCACACTCACTGACGGAGATAGTAATTTAATTACGTCTTAAGAACACGTCATAATTTCTCAGCCATTATTATATTTGATATTATTTTATTATTCCTATCTTGTAAACTTACACAGGTTAACATAACATTATATTTATAGGACAACAAGGGACGATTTGGTCCATGTAGGCCTTCCTATCCACAAAAAATATGCCAAAAAAATAATAATTCAAAGCCAGCTCTTATAAACTCTAATTCAAATATTTAATAAATTTATCAAGCTTTTCCATTTATTCCCTTAAATCAGCTGCA